TAGGTACCTTTAGTGCTTAGCTGTAGTGTAATTCCCTTGTCTTTTAGCACTTATATAAGCTCCCTTTTAAATATATAGCTAAGTGCTAAGAAGTTTTATAGTGTTTATCCTTTAAAATTCTTTATATATGCACTTAGAAAGGTAGCGCCTTTTTAAGTTATTATATATAGATTAGTAATTATGTAACTTATATATAATTAAGTCTATAGGCTTATTAGAGCTTTTAATATATTAATTTTATTATTTTAGTACTCTAGGCTAGTCTTGTTCTGTAGTGTTGCCTCTAATATCCCTATATCCTTTATAAGTTATTTATATAATAGGAATTATTCTTTATTTTTTCTATTATTACATAGAGTTATTAGTTGCTAGTAAAATTTTATTATAATAGTATAGTTAATTACTTTTCTAGTAGATTACACAGGTACTGCTGTTGTCTAGCTGCTAGGTCATGCAGCTTTAATAGCTTTAGTGTGCGCCTTACACTATCTCTTTCTTACTTTATACAGTAGCAAAGCTTACTGTATAATGTAAAGAATTAATTTACTATTCTAAAAAATAAGTAACTAAATAAAGTACTTTATAAAGTGTAAGTGCTTTATTATTACTCTTTTTAAGGGATAGGTAACAAAACAAAGTGCCTTATAAGGTGTAGGGTTAATTACTTGTGCAGTAGATCGCGCAGGTACTGCTGTTGTCTAGCTACTAGGTTGTGCAGCTTTAATAGCTTTAGTGTGCGCCTTACACTATCTCCTTCTTACTTTATATAGTAGCAGAGCTTGCTGTATAATGTAAAGAATTAATGTGCTATTATCTAGCTGCTAGGTTGTGCAGCTTTAGTAGCTTTAGTGTGCGTCTTACACTATCTCCTTTTTACTTTGTACAGTAGCAGAGCTTGCTGTATAATGCAAAGGATTAATCTACTATCCTAAAGAATAAGTAACTAAACAAAGTACCTTGTAAGGTGTAGGTACTCTGCTATTACTCTTTCTAAGGAATAGGTAATAAAATAAAGTACTTTATAAAGTGTAGGTACTTTATTATTACTCTTACTAATTTATAGTTAATTAAATTAACTACTAATTAGTGTTAAATAGGCTCTAACAGCTAGCTGCTTATAGTATAAGCACTTAAGTAGCAAAAGTAAGAGTAGTGTACAGTGTGCACAGCGTACAAGGTAGGTAAGGTAAGGGCAACATGTTTTTAGTTCTATTACTCTTGTCTTTCCTCTGTACAGAGGAAAAGGGGGATATCTAGATGTTCGCGCACAGAGGTTCGCGCACAAGCATCATGTGACATAGATACGTGATCCTGCTCGTGCGCGATTGTTTGTATCCAGGCCGCGACGCTGCTGCTGCGTACGGACATTTTTACTTATTACACTTTTTATAGCTATTTAATATAGGTTATTTTACTTTTTAAAAAAGTATATAGGCGCTAAGCTAAAAACTTTATACATAACTAAATTACTTATTATAAAGTATACTTATAAGTAAAGTAATACTTAAAAGTAAATAATAGCTAGCTAATTTTTAGCTTTAATTAAGTTAGTAAAATTTCTTTTTTAAAAACTAAAGGTTTATATAAATTTAAGATTAGTTATTGTCTAAATAAAAGTATTTAGATATGCTGTTAAGTGTTAGGTGTTATAGGCTTATGTTATAGTTGCACATATAAACAGATAAATATTCCTTTCCTTTACACAGACTTAGAAGAAGAAGAACAATTAACCCTAGTTACCTACTACCCCCCTCTGCGTAATGTGTACACTGTGCAACTCTCTTTGCCTTGCACGTACTTACTAATTATAAATGCTAGCTAGTATAGAGCCTATTTAACAGTTATTTAGAAATTAGTTAATTATTAGCTATAATTAAAAAAACATATTTTAGCTCTAGCTTTTAACACATTTTTAATCTTATAATAGTCTTTCTTTTTTTTGCACTTTATGTTTTCTAGCGTTGCACTTGTTCCTTTTACTGCCTAATACTGCTACGCTACGCCTAATACTGCTACTTAATATCTTTAATTTAATTATTTTAGTATTAAAGCCCTAGTTGTAGAGCTACAGCTTGTGTAGTTTATTACCTCTGCAGGAATTTCTTAAAGTGCTAGAAAGCTCTAGCGCTGCCTCTACCTCTATCTCTGCCTCTCTATCGCTGCAAAGATTAATGTAGTACATGTAATACCTTAATAAGCTGTTTTGCTTACAAAACTGCTAGTTTAGCTTCTTTAACTACTAATTAAATATAATAGGCTAATGCCTAAAGGTGTTAGTAAGAGATTACCTAGCAGTGTTAAAAAATGCATAAAGTAAATTGTAGTAAATTATAGTAGACTACAGCAAATTGCAGTAAACTATAGTAAACTACAGTAAACTATAGTAAACTATAGTAAACTACAGTAAACTATAGTAAACTACAGTAAATTACAGCAAACTATAGTAAATTGTAGCAAATTGTAGCAAATTGTAGTAAACTATAGTAAATTGCAGTAAACTATAGTAAATTATAGTAAACTATAGTAGATTACAGCAGCAGGCAGCAATCCCTAGTAGATATTAGTTGTGTTGCAAGTAGCTCTATGTATAGAGAGAGTTCTAGGGGAGTAATGCCTCTAGAAAAAAAGCCTTACAAAGGGCAGTAATAATTGCACATAAGCTAGTGTTAGTGTAATAGGAAATTACTAAGCTTTAAGCAGCTAATAAGGCAGCTACATTAAGAAAGGCCTGCGCTTAACAGCTTAAAATAAGTTTAGAGCGCGCAGTAACAGAAAGAAGGCAAAGAAGCTGTTAGATTAAAGCACTGTTTCTAGGCTTCCTAAGATAAATGATGGGTTTTGGATATAATGTATGGGATGATGATTAATTGTATTAATTAATCAAAAAAAAATTTTTGGTCTGCTCTGCTCGTGTTGCTCGGCTTTGTTTTTCCGGTCCGAGTCCCTCGCGCACTAGCCCTATGCGCGACCAGCTTGCAACATGCTGCAATTTGCTGCAACATGCTGCAATTTGCTGCAACATACTGTTCGGGCTTATTGCTCGTACTATTGTCAGATATGCGCACCTACTGTCAAGACAGGAGGAACGCTTGACGAAAGCTGCTACATAGTACGAGCAATAAGCTCGAACAGTATGTTGCTGCAAATTGCTGCATGTTGCAGCATTTTGCAGCATTTTGCAGCATGTTGCAGCAAATTGCAGCATGTTGCAGCAAATTGCAGCATGTTACAGCATTTTGCAGCATTCTGCAACAAATTGCAGCATGTTGCAAGCTGGTCGCGCATAGGGCAAGTGCGCGAGGGACTCGGATCGGAAAAACAAAAGCCGAGCAACACGAGTAGAGCAGAAAAAGGATTGATAAATCAATACAATCAATCATCATCCCATACATCATATCCAAACCCATCATTCATCTCAGGAAGCCCAGAAACAGTGCTTCAATCTGACAAACTGTCAGCGTTAGAAAAGGCACAGAGAAAATTGCAGCAAATTGCAGCAAACTACAGCAAACTACAGCAAACTGCAACAAATTGCAACAAATTGCAGTAGATTATAGCAACGTGAAGCAAACTGCAGTACACATTATTTGCGTTGCAAGTGGCTCTAACTAGCTTGTTGATAACGCTACCTCTAAGCTAGGTAGGTATTGCGGTATTAAACCTAGTTCTATAGTAAGGACACAGTTTTCTTTAACTACTAAATTCAATACTATTTCTACTTTTCTCTTAATAGCCCTCGGGACTAACTAATAGGCTAGTGCCTAGGGATATTAGCTAGATAATAGCTAAATCTAATTCTGTTGTTAAGCTTTTAAAGTACTCTAAATTATAGAGAAAATTACAAATGTCTCTTAGACAGCATATGAGAGAAACGCTAGCTACAAGCGTTGGAAACTGTTAGCCCCCAGGCTATACTCTGTTTGGAGTAGCACTATGCATGGTGGTTTGTACATCCTCGGCTCCCTCATCGCCCCGGCTGAGCTAGCTGAGATAATCCTGCTTACTACCTAGTTCTTCTAGCGTTAAATAGCCTTAATTGTTAGTTACTATGTAATTATCTACACTAAAACACTTATTGCTCTCGCATCTAGTAGTAAGAAGGTTAAGAGCGATTTTAAAGAGGATAGAACAGGCTGTTTTCCCTCTAGTAAGCTCCTATTGTAGGGGTTCTCCGCGTAGTAAAAGGTAGCCTTTGTAGTAATTAGCTTTTATAAAGTTCTATTAGAGTTGCAGGTTATTTAACGCTTCCTTACGCTTATATAAGAGTTGATTTTTTATAAGAGGGAGGGTAATAGAGAGCTAGGCCTTGTAATTATTGTTAAGATAGTCGCTACTTAGCAGCTTTCAGCGCCTAGGAAATAAGAGCTTATCCTAAGGCTTATTCTTATTCTTAGCATGTAAATACAAGTTAAAGATTGTCTCTATTAACCTAGTTACCTTATTTACCTAGCTTTTATAATGCTGCTAGCGATCTTAAAACTAAAGTAGTTGTAATTAAAAGTTAAGAAATGTAATTAACTAGATAAGGCCTGCAAGGCAGTAAGGCACGTAGATGGGTAAGTCCGCAATAGAAAATAGTTAGTAGTAGGCATTTTTAAGTCAACTGACAGCAGGTGGATAAATTAAAAGACTTAGAAAGAGATTTAAGCGTCTTTGCAAAACTTTTAGCTAATTAGAGCCCCCGCCTTGAACGCTCCCACAGGCCCACTGCTCGCCAGAGCCCTTCTACTCCTCTAAAATTGCCATACAAACTTCCTAAAAGAGTAATACAGCCCGTACTACATACCGTACCTAGGGCATTACTAAACGTACGGTACGGCCCGTTGGAAGCCCTGAGCTGCTTTGTCTATATTCCCACTGTTGGCTAGTTTTCATTCTGAATTTCAGCTTGTTATAGGTAATGTTAATTTACCAAGAAGAGTTTTTGCACATTGAACCTGAGGATGTCCTGGGTTTGATTGAGAGTAGTGGTGAAGTAACTAATATCTATTACATGTGATATAATAGAGAAGTATTACTAAAAGGATCTATGAACGAAAGCGAAGATTAGGTGGGAAGTTGAATATCGAGGTGAATAGAATCCTTCTACAGTGACACCAAGATAACAAGACAATCCAGATATGAGTATATCCAGATTGGTGGTGGTGTTTGCTAACTATTAGTGCGAAGAAGGATCACGATCCGTAACATTATCGATCTAATACTTGGGCTTGACACTACATTTTTTTGTTAGCACATTATTGTTGGTATATGCCATAGCATGGATTAACTCACCATCTGCCAATAAATGCCCCTCTTCCTCAACAATCCTTGGTGATCACCCTTCTCCAACACTTTCCCGCTCCCAAGAACGAAAATTACATCTGCCTTATGGATCGTAGCAAGGCGATGAGCGACGGCGATAACAGTGCGTCTCCCCTCGCCTGTCACGCGCTCAATAGCTTCTTGTACCAACTTCTCGGATTCGGAATCGAGAGAAGATGTTGCTTCATCGAGTAGTAAGAGTTTTGGTTTGCGAAGCAACGCGCGAGCAAGACTCAAGCGTTGTTTCTGTCCTCCAGACAGACTCATGCCCTTGGGACCAAGACGGGTGGCGTAGCCATCTGGTAGAGAGATGATAAAGTCGTGGATCTGTGCGTCGTGACATGCTGCTTCAATTTCTGCATCTGTTGCGACGTCGATGGAAAGGGCAACGTTTTCGAGAATGGTGCCTTCGTACAAGGTTGGTTCCTGTGACACAAGACTAAGTTGCGTTCTGTAAGAGGCGGGGTCAAGGTAGGTGATATCTTGGTTGTTGTAAAGGATGGTGCCGTGCGTAGGATCGTAGAAACGTTCTAGGAGGGAGATGACTGTTGATTTTCCGCAGCCCTGTCATCAAATTAGTCAATATTAACATATGCCCTTAAAAATCAATGCGAAAGACTTACCGAAGCTCCAACAAGCGCAGCAAACTGGCCAGCTTCAACCTTAAGGTTCAAATTTGATAACACCGGTATCTCACGCGACTTGTATGTGAAGCCCACATTTTGGAATTCGACACTTACAGCCCCCTTCTCCTCCCTCATCTTCGTCCATGACTCCTCTCCTTCCTTTTGTGCCGCTCGCATACTTAAAATGCGATTTGCTGCACCTGTAGCCTGCGCCATGTTGGGCGCGACAGAGAACCACATCCCCGCCGCCACGGACCCAAAGATTATACCCATAAAGACCACGAAAAACTGGATAATATCGTACTCTCGTCTAGCCAGCAACGTCCCGCCGTACCAAAATGCTAAAGCGTTGCATGCTAGTTCGAGACTATCACTTGCTGCAAAGACTAACATGTTGAGCTTGGCAGACCGAAAGGCATCCCTCACATGTCCCTTCAAGAGAGTATCATAGCGGCTGCTAATCATGTCTTCCATGATCAGGCTGAGTACGGTGCGGAATGCGCCAACAGCTTCGGAAGCAAACTGACTACTATTGTCGAACACTTTGGCATTCTCAGTCTCGTAGTGGATTTCCATGCGCATGCGAATGTACCCAGCAACTAGGATGATTGGCATGGCGGAGAAGAAACCGACGAGACTTAGTTTCCAGCCATATACGAAAGAAATGATGGTACAGCCCACAAGGTTGACAATGGCAATGAGTACGAAGGATATCTCGGTGGACATGAGTTGCTGCAACTGTGTGCAGTCGGAACTTAATCGAGACGTTAAGGACCCAGGACTGTGACCTACGTCGTCAAAGAAAGGAATACGCCTGCGGATCATGCTGCTCAGGTACTCTTGCCGGTAATGACGTGTTATAACGATCGAAATGAGGTGCGTAGCGATGCCGAGAACGAAGTAAGCCACGCCGGTACCAGCAGCTAGAACGCCGAACATGCCTGCATAGAAGTTTCCCTCGCTTACCAGGCGGTCGCCGGTGTAAGTGAACACTTGGATGACGTTGGCAAAAACGAATGCTAGGAGCGGATGGACAGCACCAGCTGCTAGAATGCCAACAATCGCGATGCTGTAGAGCACCCAATGTTTGCGCTGTTCGAACAAGAGACGTCCGAAGCTGTTGACTAGACCAGTAGGCTTGTACTCTGGATCGTCCACGGAAGCGTTGCTGCCTTTCTCATGTACAAAAGATGTCTCTGGTTCAGCACTTGTGACTTTTGTAAGTGGACAGTCTTCAACAGTTTCTTCTTCTGCCTCCACAGCAAGGTTCTGAGTTGTGACTAGGCCCCGATATACACCAAGGTCAATGCTTAGTAACTCGTCATGGGTACCTTGTTCAACGAGCTTGCCTTGCCGCAAGACGATGATCTTGTCAGCACGCCTGATAGTGGAGAGACGATGGGCAATGACGATGGTCGTACGGTTCTTCGACACGCGATCAAGCGCTTTTTGAACAATCTGTTCCGTGCGCACATCGATGGCACTTGTGGCTTCATCAAGAATCAATATCGGTGGTTGTTTGATGATGCTTCGAGCAATGGCGATACGTTGTCGTTGGCCACCAGAAAGCTTGATGCCACTCTCTCCGACAAGCGTGTCGTAGCCCTGTGGTAGTCTTGATATGAACTCTTCAGCGTAGGCTTGGTGGCACGCCTCTTTGACCATCTTCATCTTTTTTTCCTTTGAGAAACCTTCGTAGCGCGTTCCACAAAGGCCGAAGACGACGTTGTTGTACAGCGTGTCGTTGAAAAGAAATGGTTCTTGTTGCACAAGACCAATCTGTGATCGCCACCACTTGAGGTCAACTTTACGCAGATCTGTTCCTCGCACTCTAATGGTTCCGGTAGACGTGTTTGGCCCAAGATCGAGTTCTTCTTTCTTTTCCTCGTGACCGGCACTAGTTGCGCCTTTGTCGTTGTCTTTTTTCGCATTGTCTCGCTTTTTGAACCATTTCGATTCCCTGGATGGTTGCTCCTCCTCTACTTGTGCGTGGGGCGCAGCAGGGCTCATAGTCTCATCAATGGCAGTATTCACTGCTGTGGTTCCGAGGAGCTCATACCATCTCTGGATAAGGCCGACAATTGTCGACTTGCCTGAACCGGATGGTCCTACTATAGCAGTAACCTTGCCAGCCTCAAAGGTCAGATTCAACCCATCCAGAATTTGAACGTTTGGTCTACTAGGATATGAGAAGGAGACGTTTTCAAACAGGATGTCCGCATCGGCGGTAACATCAGGCTCTTGGAGGCCGGAGGTGTCCAGGGTCGGGGCATCGATTGTGGCAAAGAGTTCTGTTGCAGCTGAAGCAGCTTTCGCGATAGCAACTACCGGGCTTGCAAGTCTTCCGATATGTTGTACAGCCATCATGACGGAGAAGAGCACGACAGTGATGACTCCCACGTCTGATATTTTGCCCTCGGTGTACTGCTTGATGCCGAACCAAAATGAGATTGCGAATGTCCCATACATGGCAATCATATTTGGAGACATCATCAGACCCATCAAAGGCGCCGCCCGCTTCTCGTTCCTGGCGGCTTTGTCAAGCATCTTCTCGTGCTGTCTGGCCAATTTAGCCTCAGCTCCAAATGCAACCACAATGCGCACGGAAGAGAACATCTCATAAGCCATGGCTGAGGCATCATCATGATGTTTCTCCGTGATCTTGTGTATCCGTATGAAAGGCGGGACAAGTGATCCGTAGATGAACAGCATGAAGGGCAAAGATGCCGAAGCGACAAGTGTCAGCAGCCAGCTTTTGAGAAAGGCAACAATATATAGGGCGATCACGAATGAGAACGACTGAAACAACATTGCGAAGTGTTGGGATATAGCGAGTTGCACAGTGTTCGACGAGGTTGTTATGCGCGTAGAGACCTTGCCAGGGCTGATGGTGTCGACGATACTGACAGGCTGGGCAAATAGGGCGCGTAGGTAGGCTAAACGAAACGCAGCAGATATCCTTAACCCACTGATGCGGACGGCGAGCTGTTGGAAGCATGTCAGTTTGTAGGTGTCAAGAGTGGAACCCGCATGTTTACCATTGAAATGTAAGACAACACAAACTTGCCGATGAACAGATAGACAATGTATAGTGCCAATTTGTTAATTTCCGCTTGGAATTCAGCTTGCGTCACCGTCGTGCCTTCTCTGAAGTAATTTGCAAAATTGCCAACCAGCTCGCCTGGGGTCTGTTCAGCATTGCAAACCCCATTTAGGACCGTCTTGAAACAAACCGAAGACTATATTCATCAAAGGCATAGCAATTCCGGAGCCGATAGAGGTGATACAGCATGCTAAGATCAAGAAGAAATCGAGTTTGGTTCCGTAGGAGTAGACTCGCTAAAGTGTCGAGTCAGCCGTTGAACACTCGACGAGCAGAATCTTACGAAGTAGTTTTTCAAGCCGCCCTCAGGAGCCTTTTGAGATGACTTTGTATCGTTCTCATCAGCCTCTGTCTTCTGTGCAATCTCATCTTTAGATGTTGCCCCCGATTCGAGGACTTGGGCCTGGGGTGCAACTGCATCTGCCTCAGCGGTAGCCGCAGGTGGTGGTGCCGGTTTGGACCCGCTTATGGTATCCATGGTAGAAAACAAATGACTATCAAAAGAACCAAGAATGAAAGAGTGTCCTTGGGAAACCTATACAGGATGTATGGGTATAACGGGCTGTAAACAAGGACCAAAAACTCGTGCCAGGAGAGGGTTCTTGGCGTATGTCGTATGGGGAACGTCGTTCATGCCACGGGGACAAAATCTCGCAGATTTTGTTCCAGCAGCGCAATACAAACGAGTGGCCGAACACTCTGGAACGACAGGGATGACATTGGCTGCATCAAAGCGTTTCTGACACTTGGCGCAATGAAAGCGGAGTCCGTGACCTGTGACGCTAGTTGCTAAGTCGGCCCACCTAGTTCCTGGATCACCGGCTACCCCACGAAAATTAACCACCTGCAGAAAAGAGGTGATATCTATCACTACATCGCGGCAACATGCGTACTACTGAAGCGACTTTACAAGATGCGCTTTCCGATTTTGATGAGCACATTTTTAACGGTCGCCGGCCTGCCGCGGATGCCGATGGCATCCTCCAAATCTATATTCAATGATCGTATACATGGCACGACGAGAAGCTACTGCTGCACAGGCTCAGAAATCTACATCTATTAGAAAAAAAGAAGGCTGCTAATTAAGCTACTAGCACTATAGCGTTTAAGAATATGTACACAAACATAGAGTTCATTATGTAGTACAGAGGCTCTTGAGGTGCACAATTGGCGGCGGCGTGCCAAGTTGCGCTCGGCATAAGCCGGACTTATCTGTCCTATCAACCACATGCCTGCAACATAACCAGAACTTATGATATTCCATGTCCGCAAGGTTTGGCACAATCTCGCCGAATAAGAAACCCTGAGAAGGGCACGAAAATAACTTCACAAAATAGATCGACAGTAAAAATAATCCGTCATAAGTTTACCTTTCTTATATCTAAGCCACATTAGGTAATACCTGCTTTTTGCTGCTCGTCCCAGGCGTAACTGAACAGATCTTGCACCCTTCTTTCCTTTTTTCCCCACTCACACGAAGGGGCCAATATTTCGGCGACGGGGGGCGTTACCAACTGTGCCGCAGGCACACAGGTCAATATCATTAGAAACTGACTAAAGCGAGCAATTGCGGGAGGGGGCGGGGCGGGGCGTTACTGTCGAGAGCAGAAGCTTTGTCACTGACTTAAAGTTAGCATCCTGCCAAGCAATGTCATGCTACGCTGTGCCTCACGCGGGAACTCAGTGTGACGAAGGTGCAGACGAGCAGCAGGATCGAGGTGTCGCGGCACCGCTGTAACCATAACATTCAGGTCTTGTGCATCATTGGACGGACGGAGCATTCAAGGAGCAAGGGCAAGGCTACGTATTGGTTGATCTTTCGATCCAGTGGGCATTCCACTCAAGCAATTACGAGTATGAGAGGCCTCCCCAGCTGGGCTTGTTTCGAGTCTAGCGATTAGAAGCTGCCAAAGGCATTTTTCAAACAACATCTACTTGCCTGTAGCCCCTGAGCCACGGTGCTTCACTACTTCTTCACGAAGCGTACAACGATACTAGGACATAGGGAGCCCGCCACGACTCTTAAATGTGAGCGATTTCATTATCTAAACAGCACTTTTTCCTCCGTCTGAATGCGAAAGACAGGATTCTTCTCTATACCTTCCACGAGCCGAGTCCACTTAACCCCCAGTAAACATGAATCGGTCATTGGCAGCAAACTTCAGTGGAGTCCCAGCAGCCTTGAACAGGTCCATTCAGGCCACTAAGGCAGAATTCCGTCTGCTAGGCAGAAGTGGCTTGAGGGTGTCCAACCCAATCTTCGGTGGAGCCCAAGTTGGCACCTCACAATGGCTACCATGGGTGCTTGATGAAGAAAAGGTTAGTAAACTGGACCTTACGATCGTAGTTAACCTTGAGTTGTAGGCGCTTCCATTGTTAAAGTATGCATACGACAAAGGGATCAACACAGTCGGTTGTACGGCCCCGACGGTGGAAAAGATCTCACGCTTACCATAGTAGTGGGATACGGCGAACATCTACTCGAACGGACAGTCTGAAAGAGTTATGGGAAAAGCAGTGCAAACATACAACATCCCTCGTCGCAAGCTCACTATTATGACCAAATGCTATCGCGTGACATGCGATCCGGAGAACTTTGACGCTGCGTCTCGAGTAGCTATGCATGGCGATCTTGCAGACCAAAGTAAGGACTACATAAACCAGTGGGGTAAGTACAATGTTGCCTTCATCTATATTATACTGCCGATACTTGGTGAACGCTACTTCATGGCCAGGGCTCTCAAGAGGTGCCATATTCAATGCAGTTGAAGACTCGCTCGAAAGACTCAATACGCCTTACATCGATGTGCTGCAAATCCATCGTTACGATCCCACTGTTGCACCTGAGGAAACGATGCAAGCACTCCATGACCTGGTGAAGTCTGGCAAGGTGCGGTATTTAGGCGCTAGCTCTATGTGGGCATATCAGTTCGCAACCTTACAGCACACCGCGGAAAAGCGTGGCTTCACGAAATTTGTCGCCATGCAAAATCACTACAGCTTGTTGTATCGCGAAGAGGAACGTGAAATGAATCAGTTCTGTAAGGAAACTGGAGTTGGAGTAATCCCGGTAAGAAGTGTATGGCCTATGTTCACCTGAGGTATTTGATAACATGTTATCAGTGGGCACCATTGGCTGGCGGTCAGCTTGCGCGCGCGCCGGGACAGAACAGACAAACATTGCGGTCTTCTGTCAACAAGAACGGAGCGTTCTACCACAATGATAGCACCAACTCACAGGAAATAATACAACGGGTATGCGAAGTTGCAAGACGACGCAATTGGCCAATGAGCCATGTGGCCTTAGCATGGTTGAACCGTCGTGTAACGGCCCCAATAATAGGTTTCAGCAGTGTCGAGCGAATTGACGAGGCATTAGCGGCAAGGGGCAAGGCGCTGACTGATGAAGAAGAACATTATTTAGAAGAGGCGTACAAACCACAAGGAGTACTAGGACACCACTGAAACGTGTAGTACGTTCGGATTCTTGATTTATCGTAAATAGTCTGGATTTCTATGTCGTCGCTTTATCCAATGGATCATTATTTCGGTGGCAGAGCGAGATGGCAATTCATTATTCCGTTGAAAGAGTGATTCTCAGTAACATACGCGAAGATAGGACTTTTGATTGCCGATTGAATTTCGCACGACAGAGCTTATTATGGAAGTACTTTTTCCCCCAAATTCGTATTTGCATGTTTGCAATACTCTCTAGCAAGCACTAGGTGTTGCTCATTGCTTTGGAGACTTGGGAAGACGAAGACGCCGTAGTACCAAGGTCCTTCGTGTCGCCATGAGTAACAAACTAAAGGCTACTTTGGTAATGGCAATGCAGGTAACTAACTTAGCTTTTGCTTCGTGGATTTTCGTTCCTCAAGTCATCTGGTGCGAATGTAGGAGTTGATGACATAAGTAGCTGCTGGGGGCGTGTTGGGCAGTGTACGAGCAGGTCTCAAGGTTGACTTCTGAAATGGAGGAAGATTAGACCGAAACGTCCATGTTTAACAGGGTGCGTGTCCACAGTAAAACACATACGCACACGGGACAATTTGCCAGGGAGGTAAGGTGTTGTTCACTGATTGTGAGGTAAGGTTAAGGACACGAGCTAAGCTTTTTTGGGTATCGCTTAGTGCCGAAATGCCCTAGTGCGTCGGCCACTGGCAGATTCGTTTGCCGACCATCTGCAGAAGGTCCTAGCTTGGCAGCAACATCTTGTGAAGTCTCGCTTTGCGCTCACCCTCCATTTCCAACGTTTAGTGTTTAAGGCACATCGGCTCTACTCCTGGACTCTCCTGAACTGATGGCGTTAGAGATCGCCCCATATCATGCGACCGTCACTTGTCTCGTGCCTCGCAGCGTATCGACCGCGGAGCGGCACACATGTCAATACCGCGCCGCAGGCACACATGTTGACATCGCCGACAACCGGGTAAAGGGGGAAATTGGGGTGGGAGTGGGGCGGGGCGGAGCGTTAACCTCGACAGGAGAACCTTTGTTACGGGCTTAAAGTCAGCATCCTGCCAAGCAATGTCATGCTACCCGTTCCTCGCGCGACAACGCAGTGTGACGGAGCTGCAGACCAGCAGCAGGATCGAGGTGCCGCAGCACAGCTAGAACCATAGCATTTAGGTTTTGCACATCATTGGACGGACGGCGCATTCAAGGATGAGCTAGGCCAAGGCTACGTATTGGTTGATCTTTTGATCCATAGCTCATAGCTGGACTTCACCCAGCTTTGGTCAGGGGAAGCCGCCAAATCTTTTGTTCAATCAAACTCCTAAAGAACTTTACGTTGACACCAAATCGAAGAGAAAATTATCCCTCGTTCTGACACCAGAAGTATTCAGCCAAAGATGGAGGATACAAGTTCCCAAGCATTACACGGTGGGGAGAGCAAGGATATTGAAGAGCTTTGGCTCCGTAACCATGCAGTACCGGCAAGCGTCGAGCAGTGCGTGCATGAGCTCATCAAGACAATCGCTCAAAGCAATCCTGCTTCGCTCGCTATTCACGGGTGGGACGGCGAGATGACGTACGGCGAGCTGGACGCGATGTCGACCAAGCTGGCAGGCCAACTTGTCAGACTCGGAATCAAGCTAGAGGACACTGTGCCGCTGTGCTTTGAGAAGTCCATGTGGACTGTTGTCGCGATGTTGGCAGTCCTCAAAGCGGGTGGAGCATTTGTCCCCCTGGATCCAGAGCATCCAGCAAGCCGCCACAAGGAGATCTTCGACCAGACGGGGGCTATGATAATGCTGACGTCGGCCCAATACTCAACTCTATGGGAGGATTCTGCCCTCAACATTGTCACAGTGTGTGAAGCAACCATCGCCCAGCTCCATGTCGAGACGGACGAGATTCATCCTGTTGTAGAACCAGGGAACGCTGCGTACATCATCTTCACCTCTGGAAGTACTGGAACACCAAAAGGCGTCGTTCTGGAACATCGAGCGGTCACTACCAGCTGCTTAGGCCATGGGAGAGTTTTCGGGTTCACACAGCACACTCGAGCTCTTCAGTTCGCTGCCTACACGTTTGACGTATGCATTACTGAGACTTTCACGACCTTGATGTTTAGAGGTTGTATCTGCGTCCCGTCTGAGAGTCATCGGCGCAACAATCTATCTAATGCCATTAACACTATGGTCGTAAACTGGGCCTATCTCACCCCGACTGTTGCACGATTATTAGACCCTAAATCGATTGTAACACTGAGGACATTGGTGCTTGGGGCGGAAAGAATCACGCTGGCTGATTGCGAGGCTTGGAGAGGTCAGATCAAGGTCATCAATGCATATGGTCCCACAGAGTCCTGTATATTCTGTACGGGATATATCGGCATAGAAGGCTTCAGGTCGGGATTGCTTGGAAAGTCGATTGCTTCTGTCAGCTGGGTGGTAGACCCAGAGAACCATAACAAGCTGGCTCCTACAGGGTCGATCGGGGAGCTCTTGGTTGAAGGGCCGATCCTCGCACGTGGCTACCTCAACGACGCTGAGAAGACCAATGCAGCTTTCATCGGTGATCCAACCTGGCTGTTGCGAGGTGGAGGAGGCTACCCAGGCCGACACGGCAGAATGTACAAGACGGGCGACCTGGTCCACTACGGGCCCGAAGGCGACCTCATCTATATGGGCCGCAAGGACGACCAAGTTAAGATACGAGGCCAGCGAGTCGAGCTCGGCGAAATCGAGCACCATGTGCGAGAGTGCATACCAGAGGCCAAACAGATGGCAGTCGAAGTCATCATGCCTGAGGGCGAGAAACACGGTGCAATGCTAGCAGCCTTCCTACAGCTGGATGAAAAGATAGGCAGTGAAATAACGACAGATAAAACGGCCAACTCTGGCTCACTGATACGGGTGATCAATCCGGTTGAATCAGACAAGAAACTGGCAGAGCGGCTGCCGAGCTACATGTTACCAAATGTGTACTTTGCCATTGCACGGTTGCCAATGACAGTGTCAGGAAAGACAGACAGGAAGCGGCTACGGGAGATTGGGGCCTCATTCTCTGCCCAAAAGCTGGCCGAGATGCGGACATCCAGCCAGAGACAGAAACGACTACCATCGACAAAGGCAGAGAGGGCGATGCAGGAGTTATGGGCGGAAGTGCTGCATATCGAGCCGGAGACCATCGGTCTGGACGACAGCTTCTTTCGACTGGGTGGTGATTCGATCGCAGCCATGAAGCTTGTCGGTGAGGCTCGCAGAGCGGGGATTCAGCTGAGCGTCGCAGACATATTCCGCAATCCTACAATTGCCGACCTGGTTGGACTGGACTACAGCAACAGTAGCAACATGGCTGAAGACATCCCTTCCTATTCTCTCCTGGGTGAAGATGTGGAGGTAGCCCACATCCGGGAGGAAGCGGCTGCGAGCTGCAGCGTTGACGCGAGCATTGTCGAGGACATCTACCCATGCTCACCGCTGCAGGAAGGACTGGTGTCGCTGACGTCGAAACGAGCCGGCGACTACATCATGCAGAGCGTTCTAGAGCTGCGGGCCGACATAGAAGAAGACATTTTGCGAGCTGCTTGGGAGCATGTCGTCCGATCAATGCCAGTCTTGCGCACGCGGATCGTGCAGAATAGTAGGCTTGGCTTGCTGCAGGCCGTGATGGCAGAGGACATCCCGTGGATTGAGGCAGAAGGACTGGAAGAGTATCTTGAGGAGGATAAGTCAGTCTCCATGGGACTCGGCGATCCGCTGACACGGTACGCCCTCGTCAAGGAAGCGAAAGAAGAGAAGCGCTGGATGGTATGGACAATCCACCATGCGCTGTACGACGGCTGGTCGATGCCTCGGATCGTCAGCGCGGTTACCAAGGCTTACACAGAGGGCATAGTAGAACAGCAGCCTGGCTTCCATGCTTTCATCAAGTATCTCGGCCAGCAAGACCAGGAGGTAGCGGCGCTGTACTGGCAGAAAGCTCTCGATGACTGCCAAGCGACACTGTTCCCTCCACTGCCAGCGGCGGTGCAGCAGCCAGTCGCAGATGCAATAATGCACTATCAATGCCCTCCACTCCCAAAGGTACCCTCCGACACAACGACGTCGACGCTCGTGCGCGCTGCTTGGGCCATCATCGCCAGTCGGTACACCAACTTGGACGACGTGGTGTTCGGCACCACGGTCACTGGACGGAACGCCCCTGTTTCTGACATTGAGGCCATGATTGGGCCCACCATCGCAACCGTGCCTGTGCGAGTAAAGCTAGTAGGCGATCAGACTGTGCTTGCCTTCCTGCAGAGTTTGCAACAGCAGGCAACGGAGATGATCCCATACGAGCAGACGGGGCTACAGCACATAGCCAAGATCGCACCGGGCACCCGGCATGCTTGCGGCTTCCAAACGCTGCTTGTTGTACAGCCTGTAAGCAATGATCTTAAGAGTGATGAGGGACTGGGGGAATGGCGTGGACGCTCCGAGCTTCAGGACTTCACGACATATGGACTGATGCTGCAGTGCACACTGGCCGCCGAAGGGGTTCAGATCGAGGCTAGCTTCGACAAGCGGGTCTTAGAGGAATGGTTAGTTAAGAAGCTGCTGAGCCAGTTCAGCGTCGTCATGCAACAACTGGCTAGAGCTAAGCCAGAAGATAAGGTGGCGGATATCGACGCGCTCACACCCGAGGACAGGACGGAGCTGTGGGCATGGAACCGTGAAATACCAGCGGCGGTTGAACGATGCCTTCATGGCTTGTTTGAAGAGCAGGCCATGGCGCGGCCCGATGCGCCTGCTGTCTGTGCTTGGGACGGCGAGATGACGTATGGCGAGCTGGACGCGCTGTCGACTAGACTGGCAGGCCACCTCGTGGCCCTTGGTGTCAGGCCCAATAACATTGTTCCGCTGTGCTTTGAGAAGTCAATGTGGACAATAGTGTCGATGGTGGCGGTGCTCAAGGCAGGGGGAGCATTTCTCCTTCTTGATCCATCTCTGCCCTACGAGCGTCTGAAATTGATGTGCAGCAGATCATCCAGTACGCTCGCACTAGCATCTCAAGCGAGCGCCCCAGTCGTGGAAGGTTTAGTTAAGGCCGTTGTGGTCATCACGAGAGATTCGATGGTGCAGTTCAGTCGAAAATACCCATGGAGCGTCACTGTACAGCCTATAGATACTGCCTATGTCATCTTTACATCTGGAAGCACGGGTGAACCGAAGGGATGCAGAATCGCGCATCAGTCAGCGTGCTCTGCCGTAGTTGGCCACGGTCACTACGTCGGAATGCAGACAGGTACTCGAACACTGCAGTTTGGATCTTACTCTTTCGCTGGGTCATTAGCCGAAATTCTTCTGTCTCTTGTTCATGGGGGCTGCATTTGCATCCCAACCGACGAGGAACGAACAAGTCATCTGGCATCGGCTATCTCAAAGATGAAGATAAACTGGGCATTCCTTACTTCCACTGTCCTCGATCTCCTTAACCCTGAGTTGGTCCCATCATTGACTACTCTATGCATAGGTGGGGAGCCTATACGAATTTCTCAGATTAGGCAGTGGGAAGCCCAGGTGCACCTGCGGCAAACATACGGAAGTAGCGAGACATCCGGTTTCGTCTCATCCATAAGACTAAATAGTACCTCCACAACTAAGGATGTAGGCCGAGCCAGCACAGGTATCTACTGGATCGTCAATCTAAATGACCACAATAGGCTTGTTCCAACAGGAGCCATTGGTGAGGTGCTGATTGAAGGGCCTATACTCGGCGTGGAGTACATTGACAAGCCAGACAAGACAGCCGCCACTTTCATCAAGGCACCTGCATGGAGAGCATTCTTCGGAACAGACGGATGTGGATCTCGTCTATACAAGACTGGAGACCTGGCTAGGCACAAGCAAGATGGGTCGATTGAGCTGCTAGGGCAGAAAGACAATCAGGTTAAGCTTCGCGGGCAGCGTATTGAACTAGGAGAGATAGAGCATCAAGCTCAGCAGGCAAAGGCTAACGTGAAAGACATTGCAGTGGAGCTTATCACGCCTTAGACAGATGAAGAGAGTATACTTGTTTGTTTCATCGTTGTTAACAATAGCACAGACACTCAGGCGAACGAGTATGGTGCATACGTAGTGCCGCGGATGCGGACACAGAGTGCCATATGGACGCTCTAGGACAGACTAGAGCGATTTCTTCCACGGTACATGGTGCCAACAGTGTTCATTCCAATACCACAACTGCCGGCGACGTCATTAAAGAAGATTGACCGGAAGCGACTGCGAGAGATTGGGGCCTCGTTCTCGGCCCAGCAACTGGTCGAGATGCGAACTTTCAGCCAGGGACTGAAGCGACTACCATTGATAAAGGCAGAGAGTGCGATGCAAAAGCTATGGGCTGAAGTGCTGCACATTGAGCCAGAGAGCATCGGTCTGGACGACAGCTTTTTCCGCCTGGGTGGTGACTCGATCGCAGCCATGAAGCTTGTCGGCGAGGCCTGCAGAACAGGGATGCAGTTAAGCGTCGCAGACATCTTTTGTAATCTACGCCTAGAACAGGTGACCTCAACTGCCATTAGATCGACTTGCGACCCTCCCGCCGCTATTGCGCATGTTAATCATGTTGGGCCTGTCGAGCAATCGTTTGCGCAAGGCCGGCTGTGGTTCTTGGAAGAACTGCACCCAGGTCTGACTTGGTATCTTGTGCCGGTTGCAATGCATATTAAGGGCCCCCTCCAACTTACGGCCCTCAATTCCGCCCTTCTTGCGATTGAAAATCGCCATGAAACGTTACGCACGACCTTCGCTACCATTGGCGGTACAAGTGTGCAAATAGTTCAACCTTTCCATGCTAGGGAACTGAACGTCATCGACATTCTCCCAGGCGACGAACAGGGCCTCGCGGATGCAGTGCAGCAGGACTAAGCGACTCCCTTTGACCTGCGAACTGAGCCTGGATGGAGAGTATCAGTCTACCGCATTAAGGAAGACGATCACGTGCTGTCTATTGTCATGCATCACATTGTCTCGGACGGTTGGTCTGTCGATGTGCTTATGCGTGAACTGTCTGCATTTTACTCAGCCGCTATCGCAGGACAGGATCCGCTCTCTCAAGTACAACCTTTGCCTATTCAGTACTGTGACTTTTCTGTTTGGCAGAGACAGCAAGCTCAGGTGGATGAGCACCAGAGGCAGCTGAGCTACTGGCTCACGCAGCTACAGACAAGCCGACCGGCAGAGCTCCTTTGTGACAAGCCTAGACCCGCCACGTTGTCTGGAAAAGCCGATGTGCGGACGTTAGAGATTAGCGGCCTATTATATGCCAAGTTGGAACAATTCTGTAAAGTGCATGGGGTGACTTTCTTTGTGGCCCTGCTTGCTGCTTTCCGGGTAACACAATTCCGACTCACTGGACAAGAAGATGCGACTATTGGCACTGCAAATGCGAATTGAGATTGGTGGGAGCTTAAAGATATGATTGGATTTTTTGTTAACATGCAGTGCCTTTGGATTAGAGTTAAAGAGGAGACTTTTGAAGAGCTTGTCTGACAGGTCCACGGTGTAACAGTTGCTTCCCTTGCAAACCAGGACGTTCCATTTGAGCGCATTGTCTCTCAGCTTAAGCAAGATAGAGACCTATCTCGTCACCCGATTGTGCAGCTTGTTTTTGCTGTACACTCTCAGCGAAACTTAGGACAGCTCATGCTAGCGGGCGTAGAAACGGAGGGGTTGCATGGAGCAACAAGCACGAGGTTTGATCTTGAGTTCCACTTCTTCCAGCATCCGGACGGACTACAGGGTAGTGTCTTCTACTCGACTGACCTCTATGCTCCAGAGACGATTGACAACATGCTGTCACTCTATTCTAACGTTCTAGAAGCATGTCTCAAGGAGCTGGAGGCGGTGGCTGCCTCTATTCCGCTACTGACTGAGGCTGATTATCACAAGCTGAACGCAATGGGCCTTGTTTGTGTTAAAGAGACCGCCTACCCGCGCGAGTCAAGCATTGTCGACCTCTTCCGCCATGAAGCCTCTGCCTATCCATCAAGGATTGCCGTGAAAGATGCTTCAATCGAGATGAGCTACAATCAGCTAGACAGGGCGTCCGATGTACTTGCTCGGTGGCTGGCACAGTGGGCATTTGCTCCTGAGAGTTTGGTGGGCGTGTATGGAAGTCGAAGCTGTCAGACTATTGTTGCGTTCCTAGCCATCCTTAAGGCCCATCTAGCATACTTGCCGTTTGACGCCAGGATCCTAGGGAAGCGAATGGAAGCTATACTTTCCTCTCTTCTAGGCTAGAGGATCGTTTTTGTTGGGGCGGATTGCCAGTGTCCGGACCTGAAGATGAGCAACATCCAGTTTGTACGGATTACAGACGCTCTGGATGAACAGGCTTACCATGAGTCGAAAATGTCTACATGTACTATGGTCGTCGGGCCGTCAGCGACGAGCCTTGCCTATGTCATGTTCACTTCGGGATCGACAGGCCAGCCGAAGGGAGTTATGGTGGAACACCGCGGCATTGTGCGCTTGGTGAGAGACAACAACCTTGTTCAGCACCTGCCGGCTTCCCGGGTTATGGCACACATGACCAACCTAGCTTTTGACGTGTCGACATGGGAGATATATGCCTGCCTGTTGAACGGTGGAACGCTCGTATGCATTGACGCAATGGTAGTTCTGGACCCAGAGGCTATGCTTCAGATATTCAACAGACACGACATCTGGATGGCCGTGCTCACTCCGGCGCTTTTCAGGCACTACACTATAGAGTGCCCCGCCCTATTTGCTGCAATCGAAATGCTTTGCTTAGGAGGTGAAGCACTGTACCCGCGAGACTTCTTCGCCACAGAAAACCTCCTTACATGCACGCTTATTAATTACTATGGTCTAACTAAGAACACAGGTATAAGCACAAGCTTTGTTTTGCAAAAGGATAAGAAGTACACTAATAGCGTACCTATTGGCCGTGCACTTAGTAACTTGGGTGCCTACGTTATAGATTTAAACCTGTAACTTGTACCACTTAGAGTTATTAGAGAACTTGTGGTCACAGGCAATAGTGTAGCCTAGGGATACACTAATCCTTAGCAAGACATTAATCGCTTCGTTACAGTCACGCTTGCTGGCTAGACGGTGAAAGCCTATTGCACAGGTGACTACGTCCGTCATTGTCTGATATATGGTCAGCTAGAGTTCTTTGGCTGAATAGATGAACAGATTAAGATTAGGGGACATTGTGTAGAGCTAGGGGAGATTGAGCATGTCCTCTGTAGTCACAGATCTGTAAGTGACGCAGTAACTGTGCAACAGCAGCATAATAGCAATAAGGCCTAACTTGCTAGCTTTGTTACAATCTATAAAAGCAGTTTGCTAGATACTAAGCACGCTAGCAATAATAACAAATTGCAGCATGTTAATAAATAGAAGAAGCAGTTTAATTCTAAGATCTACTTACTAATCTATAACATTTAAGGTAAGACAATTAGACGTGACTTTATTAGATAGACGTCTATGTATAACAGCAGCAACATAGACAAGGCAGAGATGCGCAAGTGGCTAGATAACATAATTAACACGCTACTAAATAGCTAAGGGCCTAGGAATGTTCTTAAAATTAGATTAGGCACTAGCATAATCCTGTTTAATGTAAGTAATAGATTGCAAAGTTATGTTAGCCTTAAGCTATTTTAAAAAGCTGTTAACTTTATCACAGCTACTGCTTAGTCTATGCCTGCGCTAACAGGCAAGGTGCACATGCACAAGGCTATAGCAGTAGACGTTAGGCGGCTAGGACTACTAATTACTGCAAATCTTGTTATTATAAACTTAGTTATCTAATA